CGATCAATGCAGAGACGCACGGTAAGTATAGCACAGCAAGGCCAACTTGGCCAGAAGCACCTTCAGCTAGCCTGTCTTATCACAGGGTTCCAGCAGCTGCAGGGGGGCTGCACCCAATGGTAGCCAGGTAAAGCCTCTCAGGGGAGGGACATCTATCAGCACGAGGAAGCTCACTTGAGTCTGCTGGACGGGGGCTGGGATGGCACTGTAGGAAGAAGCAACGATAGGTGCAGAAGCATGGACATGTGGGGCAGCTCGGTAGATCAGTGCGCCAGAGGAGGACCGAGAGACAGGTTACCCACCACCACATATACACGCGCACAGGACAGGTCAGGGATCCTGGGTCCTAGCTTGGAGTCCTGGTTCTGCCACTGGCTCCCTAAGTGTATCATCTTCCTCTTGCAGAGCCTTAGTTTCCCCAACTGGACAATAAGGTTGCTATACATAGGCTGCGCTATGGGAACCAAAGCACTAGGAAGTACTTGGTGTGCTTCTCTGCTTCTCCAAAACCAGGCCAACCCAAGCAGGAACACAGTACTCAGTACCATGACCACTGCCCAGCACTCTTCACGCGGCTCGGGGTCCGGGACAAACTGTCAGGGGCCCTGCGGTTTGATAGGAGGCTTCTGGTTCCTGCCTGCCTTGCACAGGGGCCCACAGGAGGAACTAGGTAAGACCTGAGCTAGAGACCAACTGCTGGACCAGCCACAGAGATAACTCCTGGTGGAACACAAAACAGTTTTAGCTCTAGCTGTGCCACTGACCCGCAGGTGATGGACCAGGCCTCTGTTTTGCCTTCTGTAAAATGGGAGCTATGAGGAAAGCGATACCGACAGCAACATAGCACCAGGAGTCTGGAAGGGCCAATCACCAGTCACCTTCTCCACGGACTGCGTTCACCTTCCACGCTGCAGCATCTGGGTCTCGGCCACTGCCGATTACTAATCACTAACACCACCCGCCTCTCCTCCACTCCCACCTGACTCAGAGGGTCCCCAAGGCCTGGTCTCCCTCCCAGGCTGTGATAGAGGGAAGGCCAGGCTGCCTTGGTCAGCACCATCCTTAACTGAGTCACTGTTTGGCCTCCCAAGAGGGCTGGGGCATCTTCCCCCACCGCTGGCCAGGCTGGAAAAGGCCACTCCTTCCAGGCCCTGAGGCTGCCCGCTCCCTGTCCCAGGAAGATCACAACTACAGTCCCTGGAGCTCACTCATAGCCCTGACAGGCACATACCCGTCCTCAGGGAGAAGGTGGCTTTGTCCCACACACCCACACTGGCAGTCCTTTGGCTCATTTCCCCTGGCTGCGGGAACAGGTTACAAAGGCAAACTCCAGTACACTCTCCAGGTGTAATGTTTGAAAGCAGGACCCACAGTTCCTCCTCTGAGGGTTCTGCATGCACAGAAAGCCCCAGGAGGTGGCTGTCCAGCCTCTCAAACACCCCGGCTGCTGTCCCCAGATCTCCAGTGGCCGGGCGAACCGGCAAGAGGAGGGGTCTGCGGTGCTGCTGGAGATAAGCTGGGACCCAGGAGGGGACTCCAGGAACAGCTCCCTAAATGTGGCGTTAGACCACAAGGGCGGCGCTGACTCCAGGAGCACCGCTGAGCCTGACAAACCCTGGCAGGTGTCTGGTACCAAAAACATTCTCTGCTCCAGCAGGTATGGGAAATGTGGGGCTGAAGACCAGTGGACATGTTTTGTCCTGCAGGACTTCTCAGAGCCTTTACTGTGCCAGCTGGCATTATCTGAACACAAGGAAAAGACGGTGTGCTGTGCTTTCCCAACATGTGTGACCCCAAAGCCCTTCCCAGCAGCCACAAAATAGAGGTCACTTGACAGTAGGGCCATGCCTTCCAGCCACTTCTATCCAGGAGGAAAAGGAAAAGCAGATGGCTGCCCTAAGGAACCCACCTAATGCCGGACATGGCGGCGCATCCTGTAATCCCAGTACTTGGGAGGCTGAGACAAGAAGATCATTGGGAGTTCAAGGCCAGCCTGGGCTATATAGCAAGACCTAAAGATCCCACCTACAAGGAGTGGGCTGGCTATGTCTCCCCCGGGGGCCTGAGGCGAGGTCTGAGCATCGCTCAGGGCCAGGAGGTAATGCATAACTGCTTTTCCAGAGGTGAGATCCCACAGCCCCTACGGTGCTTTGAATTTAAATTCTAAACAGAACATGGCCGGGAAGAGCCCTCACAGCCCAGCCCCCACTTCTCCTAAAATCTGCCTTCCTTGGGGAATCTGGGGAGAGGGGGTGCTCAGGCAAAGGCCCCAGAAGTCTCCCTCCAACACATCAGGTTTCCAAAAGGGGGGTTCATGGGCCTCAGTGTCTTGTAAGGAATTGCACAAGATGCCCTTAGCCCGTTAAAAAGTCACCCCGGTGTCTGCCCCTGTGCTTGCATGGGAGCACTGCCATCGCCCTCCCTGCTCAGAACCCTGGGCTTATCTTCAGTCGCTGCGGCCGAGGTTCCAGGGGCACAATGGGCTTCTGTGCCCCCATGTCCTCGCCTCCCCCCAGTGCCAGCTGCATTCATGGTGTTTTGCTATTGTGGTGGGAGCAGCCTGGGGGTGGGGCAGCAGGGGGTGGGCTCTTGGCACAAGGGCTGGCACAGGCAGCCGTGGTCAGTGGTCAGCATGCAAGTCACATCCGCGGGTGCTGCCACTGCTCTGCCGGGCCTCGGAAGGAATGGCAGAGCTCCTGGGCCCCGGACCCCTTTGTAGAGTCCCCTGCAGCCACACAGGACTTGCTGCCGTTCCACCCAGCCCCTTGGTGACACTGAGGTGGGGGGATTTCTTCTTGCCTTCTCAGCCAGTTGCTATTTTGGAGCCATATCAGGTCACCAGCTAAGCCCTGAATGCAGGAGAGGCCTGTCCCCAAGAGACAGCTGGGGATCTGAGCTGGGGGGGTGCGGTGCTGAGGCCCAGACAGGCTTCCGGAAGTCAGGAGCCAGCCCTCCAGCCCTCCAAGGAAGCCACTGCCCTGCGAGCAAAAGAGAAGCCCCTTGTGTCTCCCCAGCCCAGCTAGCAAGCGGGCACATCCTTTCTCGTTAGGAGAGGTCTCCTGCCCAGACAGACCACCCTGGGGGATGGCAGGGACCAGATGGAACACGCAGGCAAACTGAGGCCCAGGGACAGATGTGGAGCTCCTGAAGTCAGACCACTGCTGTAGATAACCTTTACCCGCTCCTTCCACACTGTGCCCCTTCACGGGGAAACTGAGGCACACAGCAAACAAGTGACAGGAGGTAGGTCCGAGCCACAGCCAGGATCCTGGAGGCCAGAAATTTCCAAGAGACAACATCCTACTCACACAGCTGACTCCTGAGGGCCCCCAAACACCAGGATTCTGTAGCAGAGACCCACACGTGGGTAACAAGGCCAGTACAGGGGGGAGCAAAGCGAGGCTGGCAGAGGCTGACTGGGGACCACGCTTGACCTGCGGGGCACAGACTCCTCCTTCCTGGGGTGCACCAATCCAATCTCTCACCTTCTCAGCAGCCACATCCAGGTACCCGCGTTCGCAAAGACCGCCTTGCTGGCCTACGATCTGGGGCCTTCACTGGCCCTACGGCTGCCTAGCCCCAGAGGCCCACCCAGCACTCAACAAATGTTTAGTAAAAGAATAAACAACCGGGAAGACAGACGCAGGCAGTGAGGACACACTCCTCAAACTGTCCTCCAGGGCCCCAGTCACCTGAAGCCAGTTCCCTGAAGAGGCGGCAAAGCCTTTTACAAGAAAGAAAGATCTGCAGCCAAGAACCATTCCTCATTCGGAGAGGGTGCTTTACAGTTTACAAAGAGCACTGGCATACAGATGCTTTTGCCTGGCACTGAAGGAACCTTTCCAGACCCACGTCCCTCCACCATGCCAGCTTGCCCCGCTACTGCCACCCACACAGGTCAACACGGCTGCCGAGGTGTGGGCCTTGGGCCAGCGTTTTATATGTCCACGAACCCTCCAGTAAATAAGGACAGAGTTGAGCACACTGATGAGGCCAGAAAGGGCAACCTGTGGCCTCCAGCACACAACCCCAGCCCGCTTGCATACACAGGCCGTCTCTCCTGGTGCAGTCCCCTGGACCCTGGCTCTGCTTGCACCTGGGTAGAGGAAGCCCCACAAAGGAAGTCAGTGAAAACCACAGGGTGTCTGCAATTCCCAAATGGGGCTGGAGCAGGTGGGGTGCACAAGGGGGGCATCCAGCACAAGGCGGAGAGGAATGGCACCTGGAAGGGCTCGGAGAAACGCCCTCCCAGGGGCTAAGAGGTCAGGGCCCTCTGGGTATTTATCTAGTTGGAAAAGAGGCACTGCCCCGTAGACTTTGTAACTGAATCCACCAACAGGCCAACTTGGAAGCGGGCGGCCCGGGTTTCAGAAGAAGGCCTGGGCAGCTGGAACTGCTCCCCTATCTAGTCCCCACCTCCAGAGAGCTGTAAGGATTTCCCTTTCATTTCCTTCCAGGCTGGGAGGGCATGGGACAGCGCAGTCTGTGGGTCAAGCCCTCAAAAACCACTTCCTATGTGGCTGGGGGAGGGCAAGCAGCTGGACCGCCGATCCGGGGGTCACCGTGTGGGAACAGCAGGGGCAGTCCTCTGGGCCAGTCCTGGCTCTCCAAGGCGCCTTTCAGGTCGGGAACCATGGAAGTCGGTAGAGAAAAGACTTTAGGCCCTTGTGAAGGAATTGAGAGCAAATTCTGCACTCTGGGTCCCCGTGAGCGGTGGCCAGGAGGTGGACAGCATTGGGTGAGGGAAGGATAGTTGGAAGGGGCTCCCCGCCCTGGCCGCACCCCTGCTGTCTGGAGGGAATCCGGAGACACCCCCGCCTCCCAGCCTCCTTTTAGCTGGGCTCCCGAGTCGGGAGAGGGGGCGAGCGGGAGGGCCCTGCCCAGGCCTGAGCGGCGCCCGGCCTTAAGGTGATGCGCTCTGGGGGGCGCCCTGGGGACCCCGGGCGTTAGGTCTGGCAAAGCGGGCCGGGACGCGGGGCGGGCGCGCGCGGGGCACCCACCTCTCCGCGCTGCAGCTGTAGGAAGCTGTTGAGATAGCTGGAGTGCAGAGGCGAGCCCAGCTGCTCCGGGCGGCCCTTGCCGAAGCTCAGCTCCGGGGGCGCGGCGCCGCTGGGCGGCTCGGGCCGGAAGGCATCGAAAGCGCTGGCCTGGTGTGTGTCCTGCAGCGACAGGTAGACCCAGTTGAGCAGCTGGGCCGGCTGGTACACCGAGGCGGCGTTCGTGTCGATGGCCGACAGCAGGCTCATTTTGCAGCGGCCGCGCCGGCCCCTCCCCGGCCGCCCGCTCGCGCCCCCCTCCCGGCGGAGGGGCGGGCA